TTCTTGAAGCGTCTCCTAAGATTTTCCCTACGCAATAATCCCCTTCAAAAATGAATGATGCAACAAGCGCGTCCTGTTTGACCACGAAAGCTCCTCAGATGAGAAGTCTTTTGGTCTGGTCAGAAAAATATTCGAACTTTATTTTTCATCTTCTCTTCTCATTTCCCGCATTGACGGAGGCGACATTTTTTGGAAAGCATGACGCGCCCGGCCCAATGCGTAAAAAAAAGTGCGAATAGAATATGACCTTCCATTATGAATGATCGTTCAGGAATACTTGTACAACAAAGACGGCACTGTTTATTTGGAAGTGTACAAAGCCTCCTCGTAGTCATAATTGACTTTTTCCATTCTGATCCCGTACTATCAGTTCGGAAATTGGCCTCATTCTCAGTGAGCCCGAACATCTGTTTCCTAAATATTTTTAGTAGTCTATCTACAGGTTGATCCTCAGTGAGAGCATTGGGCCGGGCGCGTCATGCTTTCCAAAAAATGTCGCCTCCGTCAATGCGGGAAATGAGAAGAGAAGATGAAAAATAAAGTTCGAATATTTTTCTGACCAGACCAAAAGACTTCTCATCTGAGGAGCTTTCGTGGTCAAACAGGACGCGCTTGTTGCATCATTCATTTTTGAAGGGGATTATTGCGTAGGGAAAATCTTAGGAGACGCTTCAAGAAAGTTTCCGCTGACTTCGGAGTCGTGCGGGTTGCATCAATAATTTTGGAAGGCGTACCTGGTGCCTCTCATACCTCATAGGCATACCTACCGTGTATGGAAGAAAATGATAACTCGATTTTCTTCTTCTTCAAGGTAAAAATTTTAGCTCATTTTCAGAGGACAACGTGAATTTCAATCAAACTTGCCCGCCCCTCAAGGAGTCATTTCATGTACTTTGGAGGCACCCACCTACAAGGAAAAAATGGTACGGTGTGCGTTTTGGTCCAATGAGGGGCTGCCAGCCTGTCTGTGACCTCCTGGAGATTTTGTTAAATAGGTAAATGTGTAAACGACTAAGAGTTCCGTTCTTTGGTCCGCTTGGGGTACTCTATGACAGAAATGGAAACTGTCGTAGTGTGATATTTTCTTTTTCCACTGAAGAGGGGAACAAAGAAGAGCTTTTGGAGGTTTTTGGCAAGAGGATGGTGACTTGCCCGGAGTCTCTTTACCCAAGTTTTTGGGTTTTTTGGAGTTTAAAATAAGAACTATTAAGATTCAGACACACTTTAAGGTAGGCGCGTACCTATTTTAAATTTTATGAAATTCGCAAAACATTTTCTTTTGTTTTATGTATTCTTTGTATCGGCAAACATGGTTTCAATACCTTGTGAGGATTAACTCTCGAGTTAAAGTACTGAATTTAACTCCAAGTCCACAAAAATTGTCCGTTTTATGAAGATACATGTTCAATGCCTCGTTAATCCTCCCTCGATTACAAGGTTAACCAATGGGGCTCAGTCTCGCGGCGTGTTTTGCGATCGATGGATTGGCCAATTAAACCCACATGGAAAAGGATCGATTTTTTAGCATAGCTTTAAATGGCGGAAATATCGATAATCGATGATTCAGGCTTGGCTACTGATGGAGCCTCCGAATGAAGGAAAGGAGTTGTTTATGGAGCAATTATGAATACGGCCGCGAGTATTGTAGAAAGTTGAAAAAAATTGTGAATTTTGCTCGGAGCCCGGCGTCGGCGGGGAAGCGACAGGGAGGAAATAATTAGATTTGACGGAAGCTTAGCGGCCGATGCAAATATTCCGAGGGAATCCTCATTACGCGATTATGATGAGTTATTCTGAGCGCGATTACGAGTATGTGCCCGCGCCGCCCAAGCCGCCCGTGCCCGCAGAGGAAACTCCACCCCCAACTCCAGTTCAGTCACCCTTCCAAGGCTTCCTTTCATCTGCCTAGGAGAGTTACCACAGCCACATTAACCTCAAAACAATACAACCTCTTCCGCCCTCCGCAAAACGAAACTCTAGCATAGAGCTAAGAATATCTGTGTTACGTTCGCCAAATCCCTCAGCTTGGGCACTGGGCAACTTTTCCCCCCATCCCATATGCAGATAGGCCTGCCCAGTGCTCATTTTCCAAGTTGGCAACGCTGTTTTTCCTCCATTTAAATCCATTGAAAATATCGATTTAATGTGAGGCAAGCTGCCTCACCAAGAATCCATTGTTTTACATACATTTAAATGGATGAACAAAAGTGTTGCCAATATGCAAAATTACCACGGGGCCTGGCCATCCCCGTTGCCTAGTCTGTGAACTAGCCGATTTTTTTTTATTTAAAGATTTGTATTGAAACTGAAGAGTATTCTGATAAATACCAGGATAATCAATTCACTTTGCAATTTATGTTAATTAATATTTACAATTTTTTATCCATCCGAAGAATTTTTATAAAAATTTACCAGTTGTTTTACAAACCTGTTGTCCGGGCAACCAAACTCGAGCAATGGAACTCTATCGGGATAGATATGAATGAAACTAACAAGGAAAGGATAATTTTGGATGAAAATACCCATGAAAGTTTGTTCCGAACTAATAGGTGAAAATACCCAGTTTGTTCCAACTTTATTCTAAAAGTTGGAAATCATAAAAATCCATGTAAGCCTGAAGTTGGTAGACCTATCAAAGAGCGGCTTATTTATTTTTTTAAACAGAAAAATGATCGATACGACGACGATTGCCTTAATGAAAAGGGTTCGGTTACTTCATCGGATCAACATTTTCTTCCTTCAGATTTCCTGTGGTTATTTCAATCGAGCGTGTTCCAATTAATCCTCTTCAAACACCAAAAATAAAATATAAAACACCGATATCTTTGTGGTTAGTCGAAAAAGCTCAAACTTTCATAATTATTAATAGTTAAAGAGATATAACGCTAAACTGCAATTTTAGAATTGATTAACTCCTCCCCATATTCCGAAAAAATGTCCTTTTTCCGAAAATTGCAGAAATGGATGCTTCGTATCCTAATCTATTATACGCCCCGATTTTCAGGTTAATTAACCAACTTTCGAGCCAAGAGACCAAGCTTCGTACGGTTAAGTGAGTGATTATAGGCTATATCTCTGGGAAAAGGGCGCATGGCGTAAGTGCCCTTTTGGGAAATTGCAGTTAAGCCAATTTTCCGTAATCAGTTATGTGTAAGTACAGCTGGAATGGTAGCAGAGTTGGCCGCAAATTGCTACCTCACGACGTATGGACAGGACCTCATCGATCTACCTCTGAGTACGGCTGCCGTGGCCGTACGGCACAATGGATCAAGTCAATAGGAGAGGTCGGACAAAATTTGGAAACTTTAAACACTTGTAACTCCGTTTATACAAATCTCTGAGGTTCTAAAAGTGGTTCCATTGGTTTCCCCGTGGTACTTTTTTCTCAAAGCACCTCTTAAATCTGAAATGTGACGAAATAAACAACAAAATCTGCAATTTTAGTCAAACATTTCATGTTCAACCTCTCTTACTGACTCGATTCACTGTGCGACGCGACGCGACGTTGCAGAGATAACGCAAGGCCCTATAAACGATGGGCGGGGAATAATTTTGACATCAAAGAAGATGTTTTATATTTTTATCCCACAGAAGAGATTAATAGACTTTATTGTCGTCTAGAAATTCATTCATATTCTAAAAGTCCAGTTTCAAAAGTCAAAACCTATGACTATTGCTCCATTTCCGGAAAAAGGGCACATAATAGACAAATTTAAAACATTCCTCCCACAACAATAAAACAAGTATAAGGCTTACTGTTGGTCTTTATTCATCCTAGGGTGTATAAAATTTGATTCAAGCGTCCAGGTGCGGATGTAAGTCACCATCAGTGGCCAGAATGTAATAATGAAAATTTCAAATGCGTCCTTCTCGCAATGTGATTTTTCGGTATGTGCCCTTTTTCCGGAAAGAACCTCAATTTCCGTACATAAGTACGCTGTTATTCGGGTGCAGGAACTTTCGCGCATCTATATGATTAGGTGAGAATAAGGGAAGTGCCTTCAATTTTGAACATGCAACACGCTAATCCGATTGTATAGTTGCATCAAGGTCCCACAATGAACTCAGAAACGTGCCAAGATAAAAGCTAATTTGAACGAAAACTGGTAAGTTTTTAAAGACAATTTTGTGAGGAATTAAATACAAGTAAATTACATTTTTTTTAAAATAACCTGTAAGTTGATTCGATACTCTAAAGTCTCGTTTATAATCTCGCGAATTATTCGTCATAAATCGGTCAGTGGGGGTCAGACGAGCGATACAGGTCAGGAAAGGTTTTTCGAGTAGTTTCTTTTCGCAAAATGCAGTCCTATTGTTTTTTTATTTTTGTTAAAATGAAAAATGTTTTTTTTTTTAAGATAAAAAAAAAAAACTCCCCACGAACGAGATATAAGGAGAGTTCAGTTTTACTTATTGCTTACTGTTGTGGACGCGGTAGCTTTTTTATTATCGTCCATACCATGAACTCTAACTGTATTAAAGTTTTTTCCAACTTTCTTTTTGAAAGCAAATTTTATTGCAGAAAAACGTACCATATTTTATATTTTCTCTATAATTGTGGCACACTACCGGGAGCCCATATCGACAAAATTAAACATGTTGGTGAACAGGATTCTATGTAATCAAGCATCATACGTGAATAAAAAATGCAAAATCTTAAATGGAGTCATTGCGAGGCGCGTTTGCTGCAATGCTAAGTAAAAACGCCGTATGAGCATTCAAATGTTGCCAAATATCCTGCCAAAAAATATTTATTCTAGAAAGAAGTTATGCACTTTCTAGATAAAATTACGAACGCAATCCTCCGAAAAATGAGAAGAGAAATATTTACAAATTGTCCTGAAAATTTGTGATTTGTCGAAGGAAATTCGGCAACGCCTGATGGCTTATACGGCGTTCTTCCGTAGCACGGCAGAATGGTGTGGTCGATCTCTATTACGCGAGTTGTGCTTTTTGCCGCGTCGCAAGATTGAAGGCGTTTTTTCCTCGTTTGCTTCTAGTTTGACGGAAGGACGCTCAACGGGAGGCTTCAACAGTCTTGTGGCGGAGTCGCTAGGAATCTGGCTGATGCAATCGGGAGACTCATCGATGATCCACCGATTTTCATTTCAGCAGTCGGGGATGATCTATTCGGGAAAACGCTCGTTGAAAGTCTTCCACACGTGGTAAGTTTCCCCATTATTATTCCTTGCTTTCGTTACAAGAATGCAGAATTTGCAAGTGTCTGAAATTTTTTTAAATTCCATGTTTGAAACTGCTAAACAAAACTGAGCACGAGGATATTCTTGTTTCTAAATTGAACAGCTATTGGAGGAATTATGACGGAACAACCTAATCTGCCAAACTACATGTATTTAAATGGAAAATGCCGCTAGGTGACGTCTCACAAGGCGGCACATTTCCTCACTTTTAAATCTATTTTCCTCCAATTCCCCATTTCAGAAAAATATTATGAAAAATACTGCGAACTCAGCTTATTGAACACTTTCAGATGAAGCAATCAAAACGAATTTAAATTTTGAAACAAATCTTCTGCTATCGAATACGAAAAATCATGGAGAATTTAAGTTTTATGTTGACCAGCTTCTTGAAAGAAAAATAAAATTTCCAAGGAAGTCTGCAACGTCGCAAATGGAGAAACGTCGTCTCTCATTTTGCTTAATAATGTATATGTATAAAATTGAAGGCATTATGACTGGCTTCTCTCAACTTATATTCGTCTGTAACGATAAACAATGGGACGCGCTTGCTACGGCGCCTTGATACAACTATACAACCTCGACGGATGTCCGTGTTGCGTTCAAAAATTTGAAGGCGTTTTGACTTCCTACGCATAATACTTGTAGTTGATTCGATCGACAAACGCGCTCGTCGGCGGTGACGGGGACTTGATGCAACTATTTAAGCTTGTTGGATGTCCGTATCGGTCCGACTGAAGTGCGAAACCACGTATCTCCATTGCGGTGTTTCAAAATTTCCGTTCTTATTTCATCTCTTCCATGAGAAAAAATCCAAATTGTGTGCAAATTCTCCATCAGACGAATCAGAGAAAACAGGAAATGTCAGGAAATCTTAATAATCTAAATGGTAAACAGACAGCAAAGGCATGTATTAATCTGAGTGTCGAAAGGTAATACACGATTTTATTTGTCTGGAATATTTCAGGGCATTTTAGCATCATACCGCCAGTATTTTCTTGGTAACATCGAGAAGTTAGAGTGATGAGTCAAACGATTTCAGCTCAAGTACTCAAGGATTCTCTTTCTTCATGAAGGGTTAACACGAAGAAAAATTGTCCTCTCAATAACCGCCTTATCGGATTTCAATTTAAGACAACTGGAAATTTTATTGTAGACCCAATGAGATTCTCGTTACAACAATCAGGATCCCAATAGAACAACAGAAATTTTGGTTGTCCCTTATAGAAACAGATGAAGAAATTACTATAGTGGATCTTCAACTTTTTCGCAATGCATTCTGTGAACTATTGATACACGAGTATCTCAAATAACCTCTAAATGAAATATTTTGGGAAAATCTAAATAGTAGCATGTAGATTAATCTTTGAAGAATTTTCGTGCCAAGAATCATCCTCCAAAATCTTAAAACAAAGTCAAAAGTATCGTTTCTACGTAACCATCGATATCGAAACATTGAAATTGGTTGCTAAATGGAAACAGTACTTTTGACTTTATTTTAAGATTTTAGAGAATGATTTTCCGCTTGAATGCTGTCAAAAAGATTCATTCGAAAACGTGGACACTTCTTGACTACGGGAGTAAAAATATGAAAAACAATAACCAGAAATCTACACGGATTTTCCAATGAGCTTAGGTTTCCTAAAATTGCGTGTTCACCCTGAGTGTGCCGTGTGATCCCAAGTTGAATCATGGCGACTTAGTTAGAATCATGGCGACATAGTTCTCATCATACGAATGAAGCATTTTAACTGAAGTATCACCAAAAAAATGTCTTAAATGTAGATATACATTACACAGCTTGAAAAAGAAAAATCCTCAAAATCATCGAAGAAAGAGGGGGGAGGGGAGGGGCTCAAGATCCACGTATAAATGTGCGAGACCAAAATTTGACCCATATTCATAATAATGAGGTCCAGTAACACCAGGAATTTCGAGTGGAACAAAGGTTTAAAAAAAAATATATATATATATTTCTTGAAATACCTTAGTCCTGCTAGTTACTGCTTTTCTTATCAGAATTGATTATGTTCTTCTTCATCCTCAGGACACGGGCGCTGTTATAAAATCGGAAAAAGATTCGGCCTGCTGCTCTGCTATACTCGATAATTCAGGGGAGTGTCTTTTCATCGTCGCTGCGATGGACGTTTTTCAAGATATATCTCCTCACCAGGTAATTTTTCGCTCCTCCCTATTCCTACCTGAAATTGTGGATACTCCTTATTTTCCAAGTTTCGATGATCAAATTACACATTTTCCTTCTCGTCCTCCTCCTCCTTTTTTTCCCACCTTTTTGGGGTGAAACACAGAAAAGAGTGTTAGGTCGTTACTAGCAAAAAGAGTTTAGTGAAAGTGCTTAGTAGCATAGTGAAACAATGATCCGTAGAAGCGTTCATATTTGGAGGAGATGAATCGTCAAATAATATTCAGGTAAATCCCGTAGGTTTGCCTTCAGTTTGCACGGTAGGCAAGAATGGGTACTCGGGAGTCGCAAAAATTACATCAACATATTTCTACATTTTGTTTGTTAATCCATCAATTACAAGGACATCATGTTTGCAGCTTTTACCTAAATCAGTCAAATTGAAATAAATGCTCGCTCAAAGGAAGGAAATCCAAAAACTAATGAGTCCTGACTTTCTTTGATTACGTTCATGAGTTTTCGGCCTCATGATCATTTAGCAGGCGTCCATTTAGTTGTGTTTCATTTCCAGCACTTCATCTCGTGTTTTATGTTTTGACAAAAACTCGTGCTTGAAATGCATTGTGATTTCATGCGAATTTGTCCCAGGACATTTATCTACGAAATCTTGATCAAGTTTAATACGCTCATTGCACCCTACAATTCGACACTGAATAAGATGAAATATATGCCAAAAGTGCTTACATCGATGTTTCATTTGCTGATGCTTTATCATCTTATTTAGTACGAAATTCTGTTGAATCAAGTGTTATTTGGTGCTCTGTCAATAAATTAAACCCGAAATAAAGTATTTTCGAGTAAAATTCAGTAGACTGCGGCCAGAAATCAAGCTATTCAAGCGTTTTTCTATAATTGAAATTGATATGTTTATCAGTCTCTTTGTGTAATAGATAAATAAAATACCAGTATAGAATGCTTATAGCGTCTCGTGAAAAGCTCTTATGGAAAGTGAAACAAACTTTTCGTTAACTATCCTCTATTTTAGCAAGCCAATGAAGATGAATAAATTTTTGGAGATTCTTGTCGTAACACATTATTATTTACCGTTTATTTGCAGATCTCTCGCCATGAAAACTTAATAAGAGAATCTAAATACATAGTTTTTGACGGTAACACTCCTCTAAAGTCCATGGAAGTTTTACTACAGATTAGTAGAGACCACAACATTCCAGGTAAATTCCAATGTATAAGTCAAGTATTCTTTCCGTTTCCTCTTTCACAACTCCCACTGCTTTCATGACACATCTTAAATACGTCTATATCGATTATTCCATGAGAGATATCCGGAATAGTCGAGACAAGCGAAAGTAGAAAGTTTCAAGGACAGAAAAAAGCAGCCCATCTCCCATCTTGCTCCACTAACTCGTAACTCGTGATCACAAGCCTCGAATGATTAAATATATCCCTCTTTTTCAGATTGAAACCCACCGTAGTGAAATATACATTAACTTTTGTATAAAATTAATCTATGGTTGACCGATCCTATTTTTTGATGCCAACTTTCAATTTGGAGCTGAAACTACATGTCTTCCCCTGCTAGAAATATTTCTAACTTGCAAATAAACCAATGCTCTCTTTTCTTTTCAGTTTGGTTTGAACCCACAGACATCACATTAGCATCGAAACCATTCAAAACGAAACTTTTTGAAAATATTACTTATATATCACCAAACATATACGAATTATTGGAAATATCAAAAACTTTGAATGAGGGTAAGCATCCGTTTTTTGTTGTTGTTCGTTGGTTTTTTTTAAAAAATTCTTTGAGGACGCAATTATAACGAAACAGAAGTTATAACGACCGATTAAAAGTAAAAAAAAAAATAACTCCAAAATTTCTCCATTAGTGCGCACTACATTCCTGTTCCTGTAAAAAAAATGTTCCAGTTGATGTTTACTCGTAATTTATTGATTAGTTCAATAATTTTTAAAACAAGCGGAATTCAATCTCTGATTAAAATATTTGCTTCGCCTGGTTTATTTCTTTTAAATTTTTTTTTATTTAGTCGCGGATAACCTGCTGTTGTCGGATCTTTGAAAGGAACGCAAAGTAAGGTGCAAAATTGGAAAATTCTTGTAATATCGTCATGTATTGAATACTATTGGCTGCTTATTTTATGTTTTGTGTAATCACAGGAAGAAATCTGAGATTTGAAATGGCGCAGTCAAACCCTGAGGACACTATCCGTCAAGCGGTTGAACATAGCCTACCTCTTCTGGATTCCATTCCAAACATAATGGTAACGCTTGGCACCCACGGTTCCCTGGTAAGCATATTTCCACGGATATAGAAATGTTTACGTAATATTCATGTATTTTTCAAAGAAAATTGTACCTCTCTTAAAACAACTTTTGCCCTCTTTCCATAAGTCGGCAAAAGGGGCACGTTATACTTCTGGGGCTGAGGACTGTGTTCTTCGTTTATCAACGGCCTGTCTGTAATGTTCTAAGGTCTCCGCTCCCGTAGTGCTTTATCAAACAAAAGAAAACGAAACGATATTATTATTCATACAATTTTTTACAGAATATGTTTTAACCGTAGAAAAAATCCAGAGAAGTTTTCAACCAATGATGTCGGGAATTTGTTTTATTAAAGTAATAATCATGACAAGTAATGTCCAGCGTCGCAACCTAGGTACGATTTTTTGCAGTCTCACCGTTGATGTCTTCAAAGCCACCCGTTCGGACATGCTGAGCATGACGCTACTCAAGCAATGATAACCTGAGTGCCTTCAATTCTTTGTGTATGCAACACCTATGTCCGCCAAGCTCAAACAGTTACACTTTCTCTGCCATGGTTGGAAACCTCACTGTATGCACGTACAAATGTTGTCAAATTTCTCTCTGATGAAGTAAGGATTTTCTAAAAAAAAACCTCGGTGATTTTTTTCCTCGATTTTTTAGAGACTTTTATTCCCTTTTATTTTTAAGACAGGGTGCAAAGCGAGGCACGTGTTTTTGCAGTTTGCAGGTATCTCCTTTACGGACGGATTTCTAAAATTTCTGATGTTCTACGAACAAAAAAATCAGAGAACAAACCACTTGGAAGCTTGTGTATCTCGTTAGCTTTCTAAGGAAAATTAATCGGATCCGTACTTCGTCATTTCTTCTGAAATTCGTACAAGTTTACCTTTCATTATTTTACAATTTCAGATCATATCTCGCGGTGAAAGCGGCCCCTCCATTCATCATTACAAACCACTACGCGTTTCTAAAGTTGTAAGCGTCATGGGTGCTGGAGACTGGTGAGTTTTACCATTTTTCCCTGTTTTGTCTGACGCTTGCGCTTGCCTACATGCCAAATGAGTTTATGTTTTCTTTATGAGTATGCATGTTGTGACTTTAATGTGAGTTGTTGAGAGCTGCATGTGAATTGCCTCTAAGTTTTCGAACAACAGTACTTGAGTCAGGAATCTAAGCAAGTTTCAAAATCGTTCAAATTAAAACTTTTATAACGCAGTCGTACGTATCATATTAAATTCGACGTATTCTTGTGCGGTCTCCGCGGCGTATTAATTCGTCTTTATTGTCGTCGAAATCTTTAGGCGAGGTTTCTATTTTTTGTAAGCAAAATTTTTGAGACAAAATCCGATACAAGTCTTTACCCGGATGACTGGTTGATAGCGTATATCGATGGTGAAAGTGCAGAAAAGCGCATCTCGGAAAACTCGATTTTCCAGGAGAGTGAAAAAACGGACTACATTCCTCCTTCCTTATTGTCAGTAGAAGGGTAATATTTCTTGAGTATTGCAAGAATAAGATGCTCTCTCAGACTCCATCAGCATTTTGAATATTTTCTCGAATTGTTAGATTCTATATGGCAGAAATGCCGAGGTTCACGTTTTCGGCACTAAAAATTGACACTTCATCATGAGATACGCATTTCTGCAATCAGGACCGGATTTAGGGGGTGGCCACATTGGTCGCGACCCATGGCGGCAAATGTTGCAATTTTTTCAAATGCAGGTATCAAAAAAAAAAAAAAAAAAAAAAAATACAAACGAGAAAGGCGACAAAATCTCTCATTTCCTGAGAGTTAAAATATAGTAATTTATAATTTATTCGTCTTTCGGTGATACAAGAGACAGCGCCTAGTTGAGAGAGCTCGCAATTTGGCCTGGAGCGGCGCGGCGCAGAGAGCAATGATGACGAGGACTTGAGATGAAAAGGAAAAGCCCTCGGCGCGCCGGTCATATTAGCGCCTACAAGACTCCACGAATACTTCACGCATTGCGTCGAACTTAGTGCGTTCAGCAGCGGTTATCGTGAAACTCATAGTGCCTACAAGACTGCATGAATACTTCACGCATTGCGTCAAAAACAGTGCGGTCGGCATGAAACGATAGCTCCTAGAGGAGGACTGTAGGGATATTTCACGCATCGCGCCAAACACAATGCGGTTGGCGCGGTGGCGGATATTAAAATTATTTAACCACATTCATGTTTTTTCTTTCATAATTTTTTCGTTCATTTCTTATAAATGAAAGGCCTTGTCCACACAGAGATAGGTTTACGGAATTTAATTTCCGCGCAAAGTTGCGTGAACTTTTGCTAGTGTCGACAGGGCTTTCACAAAAAATGTGCCCAACACGAGTAAACGCGTCTTATGCACCTCCTCCTCCTCCGGCACGTTCACTTGATGGTTTTTTATCGATGTTTCAAAACGAATGAGGAAGGGCGGCAAAATACTTAAGCCCGAGATACGCGAAAAAATTTGGACCGTTTTAGGTGTCTTCCCAATTGTTTTCGATTATAATCTCTTGCTGCCAGATAGACGACATCTTCAACAACACGTTTATGCAGCTAACTCAAAACTGTCCACAATCGAGATGCGCACTTGTGCACTTTCACCATCGATATATCTAGATGATTGCATGGATAGACTTATGTGTGCACACATGATTCTCCCTGATTTACCTTAAAAATTCAAGGCTACTTGGATTTTATTTTGCAATTAGGAACTAAAATTTCTGGCTCAGTTTATAAACAATGTATGTACCATTAGTTTTACAATGCACATAAGTGTTTTTACTAATGAGTCAGAAATTTTAGTTCCCGATCGGAAAAGCAAGTCCAATTAGCACTACCTTTTTGCGCATATTGTCTAAAGTTGTTGCGCTTGTTTTTACTCTAATTGCCCACCTTCTTTTCCCCAAATGCTTTCCGCTTTTGCGCACCTTTTTTCCGCTTATTGCTACCTTCTTTATCGTTCACCTATTTTGCGCTTATTGCGTACAGTTTTTACATTTACTGTCCACTTTTTTGCACTTTTTGCCTACCGTTTATGTGCTCCTGGTTTTTGCGTGTCGGGAAATTTTCGCTTTTAGACAGTGCACCGAAAAAAAAAGATTGGTAGAATTTCCCATTCCTTCACGCTGTGTGAAACACAGCGTTAATTTAGAGTCCATTCTGCCAGAGGAATGGTCACCTGTACCAGTTTATAGTAACGTTTACCTTTCTCCTGGCAGAACTGACTTTAAGATAGATAGAATTTATCATTCCTTCACACTGTGTTTTTTTTTATTGTTTATTGTCGCAATAAATTACATAGTTATGAAATACACTTACAGTGAAAGTGAGTAATATAGATATTAAAGAAAAACAATAATGATTAGGACTATAATATAAATTAGCAGCTAAATTTTGCTGAATAAATAAAAAGGAGAGATAGTAATGAAAGTTACTGGAGTCAGCAAGGGTTGTAGTGAAAGGAAGTGGAGGGAAGGAGTGAAGGTTGGAGGGTTGGGTTCACACTGTGTGAAATACAGCGTAAAGAAATAGTAAATTCTACCAATCTTTTTTTTTTTCTTCAGTGAATACCATATTTTTTACGTTTGGATTCTGTTCTTGCGCAGTCTTGCGGCCGGATTTATTGCCGGATTGGTGAGAGGGCACTCGGAAGGAGTTTCCATGGCTGCTGGCCTAAACGCAGCGTCACTGGCCATCCAGTCCCAATTTACAGTATCTCCACTCCTCCGTTGGGTTCAATGCGAGGCTGCCCCTTTCACAACCCTTCAGTCGGCTCATTTCGGACATTTGAGGAGATAATTGTCAATTCCCCTTCTCCACCGTTTATTTTCTATTTTGCGTGTATTTTTATCTTTTTATCTCATTTATCAAGTTTAGACTGATCCGTTACCAACCCTGGTAAAAGTCGGCTCTTAAATAGTATTTTGAAACATACCTTGACTATAAATCCGTGCTGAGGATGAACGCAAGCTTGCAAACGTTGCCAAATTACATTTGATTAAATATGCATTTTTAGAGAATTTTATTTGCAATCAGATGTAAAATATCCGAAATTTTCCTGAGAAAAGACTCATAACTCTCCTCAATTTCAACATTTTATCGGAGGAAATTTTGGAAGTCTCCAATGCTCATAAATCGTTTTTCCATAGGACGGCACTACAGGATTTGATATACCCGCTCGTAGGATTTCTCGCTGTCCCTATGGCCTAGCCATAAAGGCAATAACAAATCCTATTCCCGAGCTTCAGGGAAAGCACGATATCTTGTAGCCGGGCTCTGTTCCAAAATACTATCCTACAGACGATTTTTGTCCGGAAATTCATACCATTTTTAACGTTTAAGTAATGTTATTGATTCTTAACTATAAGCGACTGACTTTTGCATTTTTTGTCTGGAAATTAAACTTAAAAAATTAAAATTAAAATTTATTTTAACTTTAAGTAATGTCACTGATTCTTAACCATAAGCGACTGATTTTTGAGTTTTTGGATGTTTAACTAAACCAGTGCCTTCTGTGGAATTTTGTCACTCTTGATTTAACTTCTGTTCTCTTGTTCATAAACTAGCGGATCATCGTATGAGACGATAAAATAATTCCATTTCTTCCCCCGGCGCTTCGAGCCCAGTTCATTTATCCCGGTTTGCGCTCGCGAAGCGAATAAATCCCCCTCTGTATTTTTAGACGTAGAGTAGCTCCAGTTACCTTGATTTATGAAAGAATCTCGCCTCGGTAGCTCCGTTTCCAGGGTTTTAATGTGACATTAAGATAAGAGATAACATTCCAATTTAAATACCAGTATTCCCGTATTTAGCAAGCCTGAAACATGCACCCCTCCACGTGCATTTGATATTTGAGCTATCCTCTTCCCCCTAACGTTGACGCCAGTCAGGTAATTGTCGATTCAAAGTATTTCGTTTTTTTTTTTTAAATCAAAATTTACGCAAGTGGTCATTCTTTTAAACCGTCCAGAAGACTCCTTGCATATTTTTCCTTGACCATTGATTTTATGAAGTCTAATTTAACTTTAAGTTGATTACCAATTAGTATTTTGTATTAATTACCTTAGTTTTTGTAATCAGCCCACGTTTTTTTTAAATATATAATTTCATTCTTTTGATTCTTTAATTAACTGTAGTTCCATCTCCGATGTACGTCTCTTTGATTTTTCTTTCAAAAAATATATTTTGACCAATTTTCACGGTTCGTAAATCAGTAGGTTACGTATCAGTAGGACACACCACATGTTTCGAGAATATCCTCTCATGAGTATAACTAATAGCTTGTAATCAATTCATCAGTTCATTACTGCATCTCATCTTTCAAGTGGATTAAGGAGTTGTATGGAGCTTCACGAGACAAGAAGCTCCGTTTCCAATGTGCACCTGTGGACTTAGTTTTAAGAACCCATTTAAGCCATTTGTTTTAAAAACTTTAAATTTGAATTTTCGCACTGTAAGCGCAAAAAGGAATTAAAGTCCCCTCTTTCTTCTTATTTTTGTTAAAAGTGTCGCGGCTGATGGCCTCATAAAATTCTCTGGCTCGTTATCAGCTGTTGATTCTTTCTGTCCATTTCGATGTTCTTTCGTAGATTGCGAATTATTGTGCGCAAAAAAATATTGTACTTTCATAATAGAATATACTTTTTCATTTATTACTCATGATGATTCTTTTAAGCAGTGTAAAACAAATTTACAACGAGGGACCTATTTCCGCACAAGCCACGTAATGAAAATTTTAAAGCACATTATTAGCTCACTTGCTACGAATTTTTTTTTGGCGGCAGACGCCTTTCGAACTACGGTTCATCATCGGTGCGAAGAAAACTTCGTCGCAAGTATGTCAATAATTTGCTTTAAAATTTTAATTAATGTAAAACAAACTTTAGTTTTTAATATTTACTCGACGATTATCTTGAATATGAGGTGTATTTTGCACAGCTTTGTTAAGCAACAAAATTAAGTTGCTTCCATTACGAAGCCTTCTCGGCTTTTTAACGTATTTAGTTTGTATGTAAGGCTTTCATATGTTTCATTTTTTTTTGTTTCTCAGAGTCTATTAAAATATTGAAATCTCAAAAACACTTTTTTTTATCGACCAAAAACTCTATGAAGGAAAACAAATCAATCAAAAGTTGGGAACAGTCAAAACTCACACGCAGAACAACAATTTCTGGCTCAGTTTAGAAACAATGTACGTACCTTTAATTTCCTTATGTACATAAGTGTTTTTACGTATGAACCAGTAATTGTAGTTTCTAATTGCAAAATTAAGTCCATTTCCCACGTACTTCAAAATCATTCTCTCTCTTTCTCCTTTTTTCCAGCGTCCCTTGGATCTTATGACCAACTCACACACGAAAGTCATCATTTTTTTTTGTTTATCTAAATTTTATTGAAATAATTTCTCATCCGTTAAAAAGTATTTTGCTACAAAATTCTAACTGTACACTAAAAAAAATCTCAAGTAAACCTGTACACAACTTGAGACGGGTAAAAATTTCTTAAAATTACAAAACAAACAATAGGAAAGTAATTCAGACATTTCGTCAATTCTGAACGAATATCAGTGGCGAGGGGTAAATTATCGATTTTCGATATTTTTCCTTTTGAAACCATGGTAAAAAATCGATTATGAAAGCGTTCTTTGCGAACCTCCTGTTAATCGATCCTTTTCCATAGGTTCAAATGGCAGATCAATCAATGTACCGCAAAGCAAGTCTCGCCACTGACGATTATGTTAAACGGGTTTTGGGTTTCAACTCATTTGTTTGATTAGCTTGCCCCTAAAGCTTAAACATAACATGGGAACTTAGGAAGAGACCTCGAGAATTATATTGAAATACTAACACAACGCACGTAACGTAACTTCCGTTTGCGCTAAATGGCCAGTTTTCCGCCTCTGAGGGATTGAGCTAAACGTTGTGCGTAAATGAAAGGAGGGATCATAAAAAGACTGAATAAGATGAGGAAAGTAAAAATAAAATGTATCAGTGAACGTTACCGTCACATGAATACGTTTAAAAGTATTAAGGCACGTAAGAATGCACAGCTTTGTTTCCATAACTTTAAAAACAAGAAGGTAAACAAAAAAAACTTAGAAAGAATAAGACAGGTAAAAAAACCGAGAAACATAAAATCAATACATAATGAGTCATCCAGCCAGGCAATGTTTTTGAACTACACATTTTCGAAGTGTCTTTTGTTTTACTGGCCTACACAATGACGATTACAGAATTATCATGAAGGCTATGCAGCCGTAAACTCCATGAAGAGCTTGGTTTTTCTTCGCGAGTAAGTATATTTTGTCGTTTAACCTGAGTTTTTAGGGAATCTTTGGAAGTAAGTCACTAGTCCTTGAGCCCATATACACGCAAAAATTAACTGACTTCCGACGGAATCTGCTTTTTCTCACGACCAAGTTGTCCATTTACAGATAAAAACCCTGATATTTTTCATACGTATTGATAGAAAATGAAAAGAAGATGAGACAAGAATTGAAATGGATGTTTGGCGTCTAACTTTTCATAGCCCACTCAGCATTTTATCGTGGAAACTAAACTGATCTTACAATTTATTTAACAATATATGCTGACTCCGGCAGTCCATTAACCTGAACCGCCTTCCTCGATACGCTGCATGGAAAGTGCATTGAGGGAAGTTTGAAAGAGGTTGAAGAATTAGCTGTCTGCAGTGCTGCGGGCTGATTTTTGAAATTGGTAGACAAAGCGACAAACAAAGAAGATAAAAAGGGGATGGAGGGATCCTATTGGTGGAAGCGGGTCGTTGCAATGGACGTAGGACGTAGGTAATAGACTAACCAACGGCAACCCACGAGAGACCCGATACTTAGTCCATCATTTACCCCCTTAGTCTATGAGAACCACCCATTTCAACCAATAGGGTCGCTCCATACTCCTTATGTCTTATTTGTCAATAGCTTTGCCTATCAATTTCAACAGTCAGCTCGCAGGAGAATTTTTCCAGTGGGCTGAGCACTGGAATTGATAATCGAAGCTATAGATAAAGAGGACGAAGGGAAAATGGATCCATCCTATTTTTTGAGGCGGGTAATTGTCTACACTGAAGGGGTTAATAATGAACAAACTATAGGGTCTCTCGCGGGTTGCTATTTGTTAGTCTATCAGTATGACACCGTCATTGTTCATCGCACAAACACGTTCCCACCAATATGATCACTCCATTTATTTTTTGTTTATCATTTCTACTATTAATTTCAAAAATCAGCTCGCGGGAAAAATAAAATGTCCACAGTGGACTGCCAACCCTTTATGTATTAGGCTTTTTTTTTAGAAATACACTAACTGAAAGTTCAGTTTTTTTTTTATCGAAACGCCGTAAGAGGTGTTTCTCGCGGTAACATTTGAAACTGTAGCTCACAGGCCAATTTTACTTCTTTGCAAATAGGAATTTGCATGATCACAACTCTGACTCGTTTTAAGTGCTTACTCCGAATTATATACATAAATTAACTTATAGTAACGTATATACAAAGCAGTATTTTTACATGTAATTTTACTATGAAAAAATATGACAAAAATCAAAACAATGACAAATCGAAGAATATCAGCTATTTTCTTTTACAAAAATTTGGTGATCCATGCACTGGTTCACATTAAGACTTTATACTCCCAAATGAATCTGAAACCATCAACAATGGATCCAAAATCCAGCTGATAAAATAAAGCTAGCAATAAGTCGAAAAGCAACCGCCCACCGTAACTAAGGAGGTAAGTCTATGGTTATTTCCTTCAATATTTTCCTACGATTTTTCTTTTGATAATATGGTTTGAATATCAAATCGAATTTTATTCTGATCTGCCTCTTTGTCTTGCTTAGAATTAGAGTAAGTCTAGAATGAGCATCGGGAACATACACCGATTAAATATAAAACGTAAAAAAGGACATAAATAGGTAACCGGTTTGTGAGCATCGAAAATCTCCATCAACTGGATATCAAAAGCAGCTCTAAGTGATAATAAAACAATTACCGTAAAAATCCAAAATTCAGAAGAGAAAATCGTGCATAAAAGAGACCTTACTAACTGAAACCCTGGAAATGACCCTGTTAATTTCGTAGCGTTTAATTAGTAAATAGACCTCTAGAAAAAGTCAAAACTGTGAAGAGAAAGTCACATATTTTCTCCTTAAAATGTTGCGTAAAAGACGATTCATACAATGAGAAGTTTGGAGATAAGGTCCTGAACAAGGCATTTAAAACTATTTTGAATACAGATCAAATTGAAGTTGGATTATATAAATGGCATGTCATTTGTATCCATGTCATTTCACCACTATTAGTAGAAGTAGATTTCCAGAATTCCTATTCTATGACTAGTTTTCCTCCTAAAATTGTGAAGAGGGCACTTGTTTCGTAGTGCTTTTAATTCATAACTTGTCCAGGAGTCCATTCTTTTGAAACTTTGAGTCGTAGAACGCCAGAGTAGAAATTTTGATCTTGAGGAATTATCTTTACGTAGCATGGGCTTCAAGCAGTATAAAAATGCATTGAATTTACATAGTTAGGCGGAAAGACGGGATTTTGTCGATTTAACTCAGGAGTCAATCCGAAATCGGTGAAACTAGTTCGATGGAAGCTAACCCACGTAGTCGAGCTGATTGCCCCATGACGAAAGGAAGCAAATTTTCGTCCGTCAACTGTTGACGAAATCCGTGAACAGTTGTCCTGAGCGTTAACGAAGATGGTATTTTTATCAACCAATCAGAGCCTGGTGGCCTGTTTCCCGGACTCTTGATGGGTTTCACTGTCTCAACGAGAATCGTCAATGGATCGTATTCGATAGTGGTTCGATGTATCGTTTGGTTAAAAACAACAGAACATAACCTCAAACCAAAATTTTCAGATATTTGTCAGAAAAGCTGACAGAGTGAGAAAGTTCGGGGCAATTTCTCTTCTCTTGGCCAATTAGCACTCATCCGAATCAGATCAATCTACCACAAAAAACCCGTTCCGTCAGATTACCCAATTGACTTTTGAGGTCATGTCTATGTTTTGAACCAATCGATATCGATACAATCTCATCCGTTTGATGTATCGAATACGATCTATAGGTTCGATAACGTGGTCCGGAGCACTTTTACGAAACCACAAACAGTTGAAGAAAATTAAATTAAATTTAATTACGGGGGATTTGGGGGGAAAGGCTTCGCCATGCCCATTTAATCACAAACGGAGAAGGAAAATTTGTTTTGATGACGTATTTCGTAAACTGTTTACGGATTTCGTCAAGAATTGAGGGCGGAAAATTTGCCTAAGGTATCCGTGAAGCGAAGAGATTTCTCTGATGAGTTTCCAGGAGCGTGAATTCAGTTCAAGAAGGGAGGGAGCGTTTGGTGATAATGATCCTGTTCGATCTTGATGCAACACTCGTCCTTGATCTGCATGTTGCCGGGCTGCCCGCTCATGTTGACGTCGTAGCCGCCGATGTTGGTCGTGCTCAGCTTGTCGTCTCCGTTGACGTCATCCACGTATTCCACCATGTTCCCCTTCTGCTCCAGCTCGAACGTCATCTGTCCCGGCTCCATCCCGCCCAGTTGCTCCGAGGGGTCCATCTCTTGCTCGAACCCTCCGTGCTCCACCTACGCCAAAAAATCAACTTTTTACCATCTGTTGCTCCACTTACACACTGTCAGAAAGTAGGTAACCGAAATGTTGTCGCAATATACGGAGCAAAACACAAATAACTAAGGTGATTCGACGGTTGCCATTTTTTTTATCAGAGCAACGTGCGATATATCGCATCAATTCGTTCCATAATTTCAGCTACTTGACAATTTTTTTCGAATTTTAAGATCGCACTTCTGTTGTCATGAGTCTAAAGAATTTATGTACCAAATTTGACAAAGAAATTCAACGTATTAAAGGCAGGGGTTTTTCAGAGGGTAAATATAGCATTCGATACTGATATCGAAACTGCCCTCGAATGCTATATTTTCCCTCTAAAAAAACCCCTGCCCTTATTACGATGAATTTGTTCGTCAAAGGTACGTGAATTGTTGAGTATCATGGCAACAGAAGTGGGATCTGAAAATTCGAAAAAAATTGACAAGTGACTGAAAATTATGGAAGGAATTGATGCGATATATCGCACGTCACTCGGACACACACAATGGCAACCGTGGAATCACCTTAATATTTGTTCCTTAGTTTTTCTTCAAGTTTCATCGACGAACCAGCCTGATAATCATTTTTTCGGGTTTTCCTTGTTTTGTTATGAGAGTTGTTCAGCAGCAACGGCAGATGGCGCGAGGATCACACTTTTGTGTCATGCCTCGGGTCATATCCATGACGGTGTTTTAATGCCGTATTGGATTTTGCGGCATGTTAAGTTGGGCTCACTGCCGAGTGTGATCTGCTGATGAGGTCTAAAAAGGCCCAAACCGGTAAGGATCTCTCGGCGTGACTCAAACTTAATATTCCAATGCAAGCTGCCTGAGCTGAACACTCTCCCCCCTCAGTTTCGTACTGGTACGCACTAGAGTTCAAAAATTTTAATTTTGACTGTAATTATGATTTTTGGAACTTGTGGGCTTTGTTTTGCCCGCGAAATGGTATGTGGACCCAGGACCATTTTTCCACTTTGTCCACACCTGCAGTAGAGTGTACGTTGATTTTTCCCCGTGTATTTTCTACATTTTCTTAGTCGTTGACATATTTGTGGAGAGGACAAACCTGGGGGTCCTCGGGTAGATAGCGGCCCTGGTTCATTATGAGTTGGTGAGTGTAGGGGGGCGACTCCTCGCCGGTGAGGTACTCCTGATGCCGTCCGAGGAAGAGGTGGTCGTTGGCGAGGAGGGGGTAGGAGTAGGGGTTCGTGCCCGAGGCGGGGGTGGGCGCCGTGGAGTAGAGGGGCGGCGAGTAGGGGGCCGGAGGGGGGTTCGGGTTGAGGAGGTTCAGGTGGTTCAGGTCGTAGGAGGGGTTGTACCCGGGGTTGGACCATGCGTCCGAGGGGGCCGCCGGCGCCGGGTTCATGAGGCTCGTGTTGTGCCCTCCCGTGTTGAACGGGGACATCCCGCCCGTGTAAGTCGTTGAGCTGATGCTTGAGCTTGGCGAACCTGAAACATTATCAAACCTCCTATAATATGGACGGGACGTATATCTATCAAACGGAACTAAGCGCCAATTTGAGTTCCTTTTGAGGATTTTAGAGTCCTGGATAGCGCCTTCTGTCAAACGGAACTAAGCGCCATGGAAAAGCATTGCCAGTGTAGCATTCCGCAACACCCGCCAATCCAAGCCCCCCTCTCACTTCCTCCCCCGATGTCGCTTTTAGTTCCATTTGATAGAAGTACGTCCATATTGGAAAACTGCACTGGTATCCAAAATGTTATGTAACTTCTTCAAACTAATTTCCATGATTTTTTTTTAAAAACTTCTGCTTTGGACTTAGAAGCGGCGACTTAGTGTTTTAGGAAAAGCATTGAAACAGTTGAGGGCCTTGGAGTACAAGGTGTCCAAGTGCAGTTTCTGGAAAAAGTCGAGATATTCATCAACTTAACTAAAACTAGTTTGAAAGTATATCAGCCTGTGAAAAATTCACAACTAATATTCAACTATAAGGCATCAAAAAGTGAGTTTAAACTACCTTCCTCCCATAAGACTCCGTACGTAATTTTGAAACTTTAAACGCGTATTTCTTGAAATAGCAAAAACTGCACTTGTGGGCCTTGTCCTCCAAGCTTCTCAATTGAATCTCACTTTTGAAGTTTTGATGAAAAGAATATGAGTTAAAAATCGAAGTCTTCTGACGAATTCTGGAATAATTCCTCGTTTCCCGGACTTAAGAGCGTAAGTCCTACCATGCTAATTTTACCACCCTTGTGGTTAATTTAGCTTTCCACTATTGTAAAATGTACATTTCAAACATTTAGGACATATTTTTAATAATTTAATTGTTAAATCGGTGATTAATTTTTTTCCGTGAAAATTGACTCAAACGATTCAATATTTTAGAAGAACGCGCTTGTGCAGCTTTTGCTCAGAATGTCTCTAATTTTTGCAAGAGATCTAAAGATAAATCAGTGTAACATTCAGTTAGAAATTCCCAAGATTTTCTCCGTGAAAATGCAATTTACGAGGGGAAGCCTGGCAACATTACAGTGTAGTTACGTTCACGACGAATTAATGCAGGTTGCATACGCAGCTCCTAAATAATCGTTGACATTTCGTGGAACATGAAATTTCACTTTTCAGCAGAATGAAATTTCATGGCGTGGAATTTAATTTTGCTGAAAGTTTTGAATGTCTAAAATGAACAAGTCTTTTACAAGTTTTTTTATTTGCTGAAAAGTCGTTGGTACTATACTGCCGTGCTAAGGAAAAACGTCGTATGAACATTCGAGAGTTGCCAAATTTATCCGAATAAATATGTATTTATGAGAAAAGTCATGCTTATTTTTCCTCAAAATTTTCAGATATTTTAAATTAAATTGCGGCCAAAACTGTCTAAAACTTTTGAAGAAAAATGATAAGAATTTTCCCGGTAAATTCGTTATTTAATGAAGAAGATATGGCAACGTCTGGAGGCTCACACGGCGTTCTTCCTTAGCACGGCAGTGTAATTGTAATCTTTTTGTTATTTCTATGTTAATGATTTCTCGTTAAATTCTACGTAAGTTAACATGTAATTTCGGCTTACCAGAGTTCGAGAGGTAAACCGTTTTCCTGGGAGGCTCCCTTTTGCGCCACTTGGCTCTCCTATTTTGAAACCAAACTTGGACTCGCGATTCGCTTAGATTGAGCTTCAAAGCCAATTCCTCACGAGCGAATACATCCGGGTATGGTGCACGCTCGAAAGCCCGCTCCAGTTCCTCCAGTTGATATGCCGTGAACGTCGTTCTGAAAACACCCACAAAACAATTTATTACAAACTCTCATTTTCTAGAATCCAGCCTTTGCTAGACTCATTTCAAGAGGAAAAATTTAATTTTTAAAGTCGATTTTTTAAGCATAAGGAACATGAGCAAAGGTTTGCAAAATCGCAATCCAAGATATGCATTTTAGTCGATTCTATAGAAGGGATGAAAAAGTCAGTTATTCTATGCTGCAGTTCCGTCACTTTCTCATGATTTTTTAATATCGACGGCATAAGTCCGCAATCACATATCTCCTTTGCAGTGTCTGAAAATCTCCGCCTCTATTTTATTTTTTTCAAGGAGAACAAATTCACATCATTCTTTGACGTTTTTGCAGAATTTTCTTCGCACAGACAAGAAAAATCACGGCAGTTTTAAAGAATTGTCGTTGAGTAGTTTTCCGTTTAAAAAATAAAGTATGATCGGAAACCCGCGACGTCCAAAACCGAGTTATGTCATTGCCGACTTGCACCTTCGATATTTTCAACCCAAAACAAAGCTCTAAAAAATTTCAGAATAAATTGGACATCCCCTCTTCCTAGAGGAGTAAAATCAGCTAAATTATGAAAGAAAAAAAGTAGCACGGAGTTTCAAAACATAATGAACACATTTCACACGAATCTTGAAAGGAAATATATTGCAACTTTAAGTGCAGTCCGGCTAATTATTGCAGGTGTCTCCTGTCTCCTGTCTAAACGTTCCACTCGATTTTGTATCTTTTTTATCTTCCTTTTTTTCCTTTTACTAATATATAATTGATATTACCACCTAAATTGAGAGGAACTGGGATTTTTCATGATTTCTACGTTTAATTGGAGAGCTGCTTCGATTAAGACTGTATCAGAGTCTACATTTGAAGCCGTGCACAATTCCATTAAAATTAATCACGTTATTTCTGCACGCGTTAACATCAATATTTTCAACACCCGAGGGTGAACACTGAGCTGAGCACACTTACGGCTCCGCGAAATTGAATCATCCCGCTCTTTACCGCACCGTTACAGAGTGCGCTGTCTCGCGGTGGTCTTAGGAAGTTTATCGTTTTGTGGACTTTGCCGCTACCACGACAGATGGCGCAGCGATGACATTGTTAAATACGCGCGAAATTATGAATTGCTGCTCTGTTCGACTGTTTAGTGAGACGGACTGACTGACACCCTTTCAGGCCGTTAGATGTGTGTGTCTTGTACAGGGTGGCAAAATTTCATGAAAAATAAAATATTGAAATTTCACGTGAAATATTTCATGAAATTTCAGAAATTTATGAAAGATATTGAAAAATACGAGTTCCTTTTTATGTTTTGAAGGTTTTAAAAATCGTGATTTTCTTCTATTTTTGGGTGTTTGAGTGCGGGTTGCATACTCTGGCCCCTGAAAAATATGAAATATTTCACAGCCTCGTGAAATTTCATGAAATATTTCACTGAAATTTCCAATCTTTCATTTCTTTCTTACGTTTCATGCCACCCTGGTCTTGTATCCCAACCAATTAAAAAGTAACAAAACAATACTTGCGATACCTATTCTTTTTTAATTATTTTGTTATGTTTCTTTCTCTTTATCATCACTCAATGCGGAATTTATCAAACCAATGTGTCTTCCCGCTTTAATCGATGGCCAAAGCTAGAAAACGGGTATCTCCATCCCGGTGTTGCCAAATAAATCCTCTTTGTCTTTTTTTATTTTTTTTTTTGAAGAGAAACAAGCCAACGTTATGACTTGAAATGTTTACAGAATATTCTGCCAACAGAGTGAAAAAAAGTAACCAAAGGACGTTTTCAAGGAATTACAATGACTAGTTTTCCCAAGCATTGGTATTGTAATGACCAGAAATCTGCAAAGTCGCAAACGGAGATTTGTGCTTAGCCAGCGATACGCCCTTTTTACACAAAAGCGGCAAGGCAAATTGGACGTATTTATGCTCAATGGAACTATGTGCAAGTGGGAAGATGGGGTGTGCTTGTCAGAGATCGGGCCATAAGAATGAATGGGAAATATAAACGCCAGTGACGTCAGCGGGGTTTCAGGACATTTTGTCAACGATTTTTTGTCCGCGCACCTTTTTTGTCCAGTAATTTACGCCCACACGTAAAATAAGCAACAGTGACTTGGTCCAAGCGTCATATTTTAGTCGGTATGTAAAATTATATTGACAATATGGAAATGAGAAATTGAGAGGGAAGGAGGTGTTGTTATGGTTCCTCATTTTCTGAATGAAATGTTATTACTTTCTCCTTTTGAATCATCTTTTTAAATTGTCATTGGTGAATACTTGGTTTTATTTCTATCCTGAAAATATTGAGTGTACAATATACCTTATGTATGTATGGGTACTTTTTTTTTTAATTTTTTTTTATTTTTTCTTTACGAAATCATTACTTCATTTTGAAAACATTTATACTTTTAAAACGTGACAAATATTTGTAAAACCTTTTCCAAGCGACATTAATCTCAATGAGCCGCAGTTGTGCCGACAGAAACTGCAAAAATGAATAAAAGAGGGAAAAAAAACCAAGAAGCACGCAATCTTTAGTTTTAACTCATTTGTACATCGATCTTTTACAGTCAAATACGTCAAATTTTGAGCGTTTCGTTGCGCGTGCACCTCGCTGCAGCACAATAAAAGCACAAAATGTAAAAGAAAAAATTAAAGTGCTTTGGTAATCATTAAAGTTGACACGTTGTGGGCCTGCGCTGCCAATTCCAACATACGGAAGATGGAAACGGTCCAGAACAAAATTTTAAGACAAATAGCAAACGCTCCATGGTATATGAGGAACGATGATATCAGATCTGAACTCGGCTTAGAAAGTCTGGACGTTTTCATCTCCCGTATGTACGGAAGGTATGAAGAGCGTCTGGAATCCCATCCCAATCCAGAGGCAATTAAGCTTCTGGACTGGGCAGGGGAGACCAGACGTTTAAAGCGCAGGAAGCCACACGAACTTTACACACCTGACTTCCGAAAAATTTAAATAGCACCTTCAATTTTACGGGCTCTATTCCCCTCTACCTTTGTCGGCAAGGGAATATCCCATCAATAAAGACAAAAATTGCTAGTAAAATAGTTTATTNAAAAATTAAAGTTGACACGAAACCACCAGTATTTAAAAAACACACATTACATTATTATTCTTCTTTGATGAATTGATACATACTTTTTTCCCATCAATTTAAATGAGAATAATCAATGCAGAGTGTGCTAACATTTCAAAAGCATGAGTTAAAAAACGCTGACTATGCGAGTATAAATATTAACGCCTAACAGAGCAGAGCGGCGTGCTGCCAGCGCGAGAGGCTCACTGGCGCCTACAAACCTAAGTGGATACTTCACGCATTGCGCAATGCTTGAAGTATCCACTTAGGTTTGTAGGCGCCAATGCGCGTTCCGCGCTGGCCGCCCGCCCGCCGCGCCGTGCGGCGGCGCCTGAGGCAACTATTTCACAACAGAGGTGTTGCACAGTATTATACGAAATTGAACGTATTAAGAATGGCAGGCATCCTTTAAAAGTACAGATCTTTCCTCGCAGAATAAATCAAGATACTTATCGTACACAGGAAAAATCTAAGAGCCTTTAGCTGAGGCAAATATTCATCCGGTTCAGGTATAACAAGGTGGAAATTTCTTGAAAGATAATTAAGTCATGTTAAAGGATAAACATTATTCTCACCTCGTTTTTTTCTTCTTTATACCGTTGGAATCACTTTTTTTCTTCGTTTCTGATTTTTTTACGGCAGGCCTGGTCTCTGCGTTACCTGAAAACGTAGAATTGAGTCTGAGGTGAAGTTAATCATTAGGTATGGCATTTGCATTTATAGGAAGGGGAACAGGGAACATCCTAGCAGGGGGCGCTGCTATGTTATGATGCTCACGAATATACTGAAGTCAATACTGAATTCTGTTGTATTAATGAAAAACGTCGTAAAAGCATTCTGTAGGATATCCCAAATTTTCCCTGATAACTTTTTTTAGGAAAGTTATCAATTCTTTTCCTTGAAATGTCCACTCACTTTTAATTTAATTACAATTAAAACTCTAAAAAATTGAACGGGAAATATCCAAAAATTTCTTTAAAATTTCCTATTTTATGAAAGAAAATTTGGCAACGCTTGAATGCTAATCCAGCGTTCTTCTGTAGCCCTGCAGAATACCCTTCAAATGGGCCGTTCATTGAAATTGATAGACGGAGCTACAATATGGACGTATTTCTGTCAAACGGAAGTATGTGCATTATGACGTGAGCCCTGTTATGCATATATTCTTATGGGTCTCAGGGCTCATGTCTGAATGCACATAGTTTCGTTTGGTAAAAATACGTCCATACAGACAAATAAAAAATGGAGCGATCCTATCGGTGAAACGGGTAGTTCTAATGGGTAATGGAGGTAAGTTACAGACAAATAACAGCAACCCGCGAGAGACTCTGTGGTCTGTAAGAGTCACCCGTTTCGACCATTGGATGCCTCTATTATCCGTTTGTCATGAGACCGGAGTCATTGCAAAATTGACTCGTCATCACAAAATTGTATCTATCCACAATTGCTTCGATCCACAAAACTGTATAGTCCCAAGGATGCGCTTTCATGGAAAAAAACTAGGAATGTCTAATCGGTGATGACTCCATGTTTCTTAAGGCGCTGAAACGAACATGATTCCAATCATACACACAATTAAATTACAAATGGACTTCATTTTGCAATTGGGAACGACTGGGGAGCATTTTGCAATTAATTACTACAATTCCTGGCTTAGTTTATGAAGAAGTATATACCATGAGTGTCTCCATGCACGGATGAGCCAGAAATTATAGTTGCTAATTGGAAAATGAAGTCATTGACTCATCGGATAACATTTTGCAAAAAGGAGCCACTATCTTTGGCTCTCCCATAGAAGCACTTTTCTGCATAAAGAAACCAATGTCATGTATGTAGTTTCTAAAATGGGCCAGAAATAGTGGTTCCTTATCGCAAAATGTCATCCTATTTATAAAAGCACATGGATGTTGTTTCTAAAATGAGGCAGAAATTGTAGAAATTGAAAACTTTAACTTGTGTAGGCCCGTAACGGTATTCAAAGTGAGAAATCGTAGGTTCTTAGGAGGGAAAAAATGGAGTTTTGGGTGTATTTTCTCTTACCTGTCGTGGTGGTCGGAGCGGGCGGCTGAGGCGCGGGGGAGCCGATGTTCCCGTCCTCGGGCTTCCGCTGTCCCGGCGAGTGGGGGTTCGGCGGGGGGAGGTGGACCCCAGGGACAGGCGAGTCCTGGAGAAGACCCCCCTCGAGTCCTGGGGTCGGCGCCTGGCCCACACTGCCCGGCCTGAACATGCAGTTGAAGTCCTGCGCCCCGTTGTGGGATTGTCCTTGCGCTTCGGGCAGTTTCTCCAGTTGACCCTGCGGCCCTGAGCCCAGCCCCAACATGAGCTCCGAGGAGTGGTGGTAGAAATGGTGGTGTTGCAGGCCCAACATCACCTGCTCGAGGAGAAAATACTTTCTATCAGGTTGGACCGTCACCAATCAGATACAGCCTGACCAATGGTGAAATTTTGAAATGCTCTCATCTTCGCATGTCATGTCGCAATCAGATGCTAATGCCTAACAAAAAATCCACCTGGCAAGTCAACGCAAAACCGCGTATCTCAATTTGCCCAGTTTCAAAATGTCTACTCCTATTTTTTTTTCCTAGAAAACAAGCTGATTCTATGTCTTGAAATGTATACAGATTATTCTGCCACGTCTGCTTGGGCAATTCAACTCTGTGGATGCAACTATATTAACGCAAAGGAAGTGTTCTTGCCTAATCACCCAACTGAAGGCGAACGTCATTTGGATGTCATTTCGTAATAAGAAACCACTACCTCTGGCTCACCTCAGGAAAAACGTGTGTACCTTTAGTCTTCAGACGCACACGTGCTTTTTTGGGTGAGCCACAAATAGTAGCTCCTTATCGTAAAACTAGAGGGTAACCCCCAAGCCGTTACGCGGCCCAACCATGAAGCGGCGCTTTGTGCCCACCAAGGAGGTTTCACCACTTCACCGTCCAACCCTCCAGCGTTTCGCTTCTTAGACGCTAAACGTTACGCGTTACTGTTATGATCTTATATTTGGACCGCGTCAAGCAGAAAGGAACCAAGCCACATCAGCTATTACCAAATTGAATTAGGCAATTTAATTTTTTACATGAATACGGTTGTGCGGACTCTGGTGCAAATTTCAGAGAATTTTCTACACATTGGGTTTCCCAGAGCGGTTGATTTAGGTCGAATGGAGTCGGCAACCGCGGGGTTGAATAGGGAATTGACCCCAAGGAATCCAAATTTCATGTTCCTGAAACCTCCCCCCCCCCCCTTGGGGGGTAAAGGGGGGGGGGTCACGATCCTAAAAGTTGGAGTTCTCGATCGAATTTCGATTCGATTAATTAGAATTGGAAAGTACGGAAATTTTCAGGTGATATCGACCCTTACAAATCCAAAATCGGAACACTTTCCGCCCAAAAATGATCACCTAAAAAGGGGGACCGTGGCCCCTTCCATAATTTCCCTTTGGTCAAAAATTGACGCAGATTCTCCGGATATAAGATGGTTTACCAGATAATCGACCCCAAAGAATCCGACTTGTGGCCCCCCTAGCCTCCCTTGGCGGGTAAAATGGGGGGAGGGGCACAATTTCCCCTGAATTTTGAAATTTTGCCCTCTCCATTTACCCCCTACGGGAGGCTAGGGGGCCCTCGGGACCATAAAAATCGGATTCCTTGGGGTCAATTTCCTCTTCAACCCCGCGATCGCCGACTTCATTCGACTTAAATCACCCGAGAAAAAGGCTTGGTACCTATACGGGTGATCTGGGACACCCTGTGGTACGAACCGAATACTTTCTAATTTACAAAAGTATCTGCTTAAACGTTTTCTTGTAAAAAATTGGATTGCCTGGTTAAATTTGGCAATAGCTGATTTTGGTTGGTCCCCTTCTGCTAAACGCGGTTCATTTCAGAGTATGATTTTGGGGGTATAGTGGATATAACTTGTGAAACCATTAATTATTGGTACCTTGATGGAGTGGATATTGGAAGGGGAGTCTGCGTTGGGGGTTCTGGCGTCCCCGGAAGTGGGTGGGAGTTTGGGGTTGGAGACGAGGACGTTTCCGTTGTTGGGGAAGTCGGTGAAGATGGCGTCGTCGAAAGGGCCGGCTTCCATTTCTAGCCGCGGCCCCTGATATTCACTCCCTCCCTCCAGTTGCAGCCTCGGAACGCGGATTCAGGACAACCAGGGATCCATTGCTCCTCTCACAAGGATCAAAATTTATCCAAATCGGCTCTCTCTCCGAGCAGAAATCCGCATCCAGCTGCAACACACCCAGAATTGTTAATTAGTCAAAAACCATGTAGATGCTTCGAGTGCGTAAGCATGTATCTCCATCGCGGTCTCTCAACATTTCTGCTATTCTTTTATTCTTTCAAGTCAAACAAGACAACTTTATGGCCTGAAATTTATTCAGCATGAAGACTTATCAAATATCTGAAATTTTGAAGAAACTACCGAGTGAACTGAGCATGAGAAATCCTTGCTTTCTGAAGTGGACAATTATTGGTGGAGGTATAACCAAATTACCTAATCTGCTAAAATACATGTGTTTAAATGGGGATTACTGCCTCATGACGTCACAAGGCGGCAAATTTTCTCTTTTTTATCTATTTTTCCACAAGTACCCATAGCGAAAAAAAATCACGAAAAATACTACCAACCCAAATTGTAACCCAAAGACCAAACATATAACCGCACGTATAGGTTACATTGTGTTCTGCATCCCATATCTATACTATAAGCTCCTAGACCTCCTAAATTTGCATGCCTGGTAACGCTTCGTTCCTGCGTTCTACCGAGCCGATTTTCATTATTTTTGCGGCTATTGACAGATAATTGTCACTATGAGCTCGCTTCAGAATTTAAAAATAGGATCCAGGGTTTTTTTACATAAAAATAGACAAGAGAGCATAGGAAGGGGAGGAAAATTTGAAATTCCCGTCAATGAAAAGTTGCCGGAATTTCAAATTTAGCGGAAATTTGAACTAAGCGGGAAATTTTGAATCTTGGTCCGTTAGAAGGGTAAGTTAAGTGAATCGAATTTGCTCCTTTGCTACAAACTATCCAAAAGCGACGATACGCTCCGTTCCGTTTCAGTCTTGGCGTAATGTTTAAAATACATGCCGATTTTTCGATTCGATTCTTATTGGTCCAGTCGCTCCCGGCCAGAGAAAGATTGGACAAATGAGAGTCGGCCACGAAAATATTTTCATTTTTTGGTCGTTTTTATGTCGACGTGGGCCTGAGAGAGCGTGAAGTGGGGGGTTGGGCTGCGTTGCGGCCAGGAGGCATACCCCCTCGTGTATATAAATACGAAAGTGTCGCTCCTCTGGCGTAAGGGCGTATCTCAATTTTCGCATGAGCCCCAGAAAGCATGGTTTTATAAGTAAAATAGGGTTCACGTGGAAATTGAGATACGTCCTTACGTCCGAGGGCCGACAATACATGAGTCAGTTTTTTTCACAGCGTGAGGAAAGTTGCTTTTTCGGGGAGAGTGAAGAAGAAGAGCCGCGCATGCGAAAGTTGGGCGGTGGGCGAGTGTGATGCGTGGCGTGTTGCCTAGACGCGGAGCGGGAGGCGCCGCGGTGGTCGATTGGATCGGATCAATTAGTCAATTAGCCGATTAGCGTGGCCAGCAGATGAATCTAAATTCGTGGCCGCGACCGCCCGAGGCCCGATCGTCGATTATTAAACTTGGAGGCAACAAAATATAAAAGCCAATTTAAACCAATTTTACTTGATGGAAGTCAATTTCGAGCGTGCAGACAATTGAAGTTGGCCAGAATAAGTTAGGTTAGTTAACTTGCGCCGGAGGGCTCGTGCGGACGACAAGGAATCCTGAGTCGCCACCCAGGAAAACGCTCCGGAGCACGCCGGAACGCTCCAAACACGACGGAAAAGTTTTCGAAAGGCGGGAACGCTCGCAAAAAGCGGGAAAGTTCGAAAAAAGTGTGAAAGTTCGAAAAAGGCGGGAAAGTTCGGAAAAGGCGGGAACGCTCGAAACACGACGGGAAAGTTCGAAAAAGGCTGGAACGCTCGGAACACGACGGGAAAGTTCGAAAAATGTGCGAAAGTTCCAAAAAGGTGGGCGAAGTTCGAAAAAGGCGGTAAAGTTCGAAAAAAGGCGGGCAAAGTTTGAAAAACGTGGGGAGACTACGTTCAGCGGACGGCTCTTGCCACATCGCTGTCGGTAAGATGGAGTAGTGTTCCACTTTTGTGCCCTGTCTATTCGATTTTTCTCACCCAAGATCTCGCAAAATATCTAATGTCTCTGGCTAAAATTCTATATAGTAAAGTCTCAATCACCCGTGTCTAGATTATCATCGGTTTTTTAGGTTGCTTTGGCTGCTAAATGATGCAATTTTATGGCGCATATGTCTAAAAAAAATATTTTAAAAATTATGGTAGCCGAAATAACTTCTTTAAGGTGACATTCTCTCAGTTGTAACTAATTATTACATTTCTGTATATTATGTTTCGAGTGTTATAATAGATTCTTTGAAAATACATCTTTTTCGATCCCTGTCCTACTGAAACAGCTTGGTTTTGTGATTATCCGTGGTAGCTCCAGTCTCAATCACTGCGGGAATCGAGATTTTATTGTATCATCAACAGCTTTTTTCTGTTTATACGGTTTTTTTTACTCATCTATCGGACGGCTTATTGTGGATTTACAGCGGATGCAAGCGAGTACACGTTGAGTTGGAGCAAATTTTGTTTTATCACTTGTTTCACCTCTAATTTTTAGCAAGAAACCAATCGAGTACGTCTAAGCCCATTACAGCTGTTTCTTTCTAATCCATTTCGTGAACCCTGAAATAAAACTGAAAGTTTGCGTACTCTAATCGAACGTTTCATTTTCGCGTGTGCATATTTACTGAATAAACTACTTGCTCAAATGTGCCTCCAGTTAATTGATCTTTGTTTTGCCAAACATTAAAAGTGAGACAGCATTTAAGCAAAATGTGTTCGATATCGCGATATTTGCTCAATCCCACCATAAATTCACCTTAACAAGAAATGAGGGGCTTAGAAGACAAGGCGCACAAGTGCAGTTTTTATTTATTACACAACGTGAAATGTACTTACGCTATTTCTTGTCAAATCCTTCAAACTTTAACTGCAAAACTCAGTAACTAAGATATTTATCCCTTTAAAAGTATTTGAAATCACAGTTTTTACTATCTTTCATTGGTCTACGAAAATGCGTTTATTTTAAGACCCACCCGCATCAGAGATTAATATATTAAAGCCAAAACAGAAACACTAAAACCCAAATAAGCTGAAACACTGTCAAAACAGAAGGTTCATAGCAACTCCTGCCAGAGATATTCGATTTTCTCTAAAGTTTACGGTAAAGGCAAGTGATTCGAGACTGTAAAATTTAGTCTTGACTTGAATAAGTTTTTTGGCCTATACCTGGGAGGGAGGCTCGGAAAAGAGTGAAGTGTAATAGTGCGAGTGCAAAAAATTCTAAGTGCTCGAAAGTCTATCGAAAAGGACCAGGAAAAATACGCGTGAACTTTTGCAAAGGTTTCTGCTGTCATGTGGAGTTGCAGGACCATAAAAAGTGGGGTGCCACACACGGGAGGGATGAGGCGCCCAAAAGTGAGGCTCTGCTGCGCGCGCACGTCGCATGTTTGGATTGTAATTTCGCGGCAGATTCGAACCCAAGGGGCGAGTTCCATAATACATTCTTCTCAAATGCACAGTAAGTAAAAAAAGTCCAGATCGAGTTTTAATCACGATTNGTATTCATTACACATAAACTAGCGAGCCCCAGAATGAGAAACAAATTTTAATCATTATTATTGACGGATTAGTAAACTTTTTACACGCTTTGGAAAATCTCAGAAGTTCGCGGTAGTCACTTTTCGGTAAGGAACTAGGGGACTCGGTTATTGTATCGAGGGGGGGGTCGAAACGATCGCAAAGGCGGTATACTACGTATACGCGCCAAAACTTATAGTTTAGGAAAGGTTTAAAATTACAGGAAAAAGGCGCGTTCCAAAACGTAGGAAAGTGCGCGGGAACGTGTGAAAAAGTGGAAAAATGTAAAAATGTAAAAAGCACCCGATCCGTACGGGTATCTTACTTGTGGGTTCCGAAATTCTCTGAAGCGTGTCGCAATGGTGCGAATGTGTATTTGAGTTGATGGATGTGCTTGATGAAAAAGCTGGGTGGTTCGAAGCTCGTATGGGGCAGTGACGGGGCGTGCTTTACGATATATCGATTCATCTGCCGTTTAAACCTATGAAAAAGGATCGACAAACCGGGTATTCGCAAAGAACTCCTAAATAATCGATTCTTTACCACAGATTCAAACGGGGAACTATCCAGAATCGATCATTCACGCCTCACCACTGGTATGAGGCCTTTTCAGGGGACGCATCATTCTTCCCGACGCGCACATCGGCGGATCCTGCTGCGGGCTGATTATTGAAATTGATAGACAAAGCAATAGACAAAGAAGACAAAAAGGATTTGGAGGGATCCTATTGGTAAAAGCGGGTGGTTTCAATGGACAAAGAAGGTAGGTAATAGACTAACTAACGGCAACCCATGAGGGACCCGATAGTTAGTCCATCATTTACCCCCTTAGTCTATGAGAACCACCCATTTCAACCAATAGGATTGCTTCATACCCCCTATGTCTTCTTTGTCTATAGCTTTGTCTATCAATTTCAATAATCGGTCCGCGGGTTGGCCAAATTGTATCCTCTCAATTTACACCTATGAAAATGTATCGATTCTCGACGGGGCCAGATGCGGTAGTGTATCTCACAAAGCGCGGGTCCGCCCGCAGACTGTATTTCTGCCCCCCCCCCCNATACCCCGAGGCCCGATTCAGGGATTAAATTTATATTTTTAAAAAAAAGAAAAATTCCACCAGGCGACTGGACCCTTAGATCGTGCCTCTCCCTCCCCCCTCTTCATTGCGGGCCGTATATTTACGGCATTGCCCCATTGGCTTGGTGCTCCTGCAAGAATCGATTATTTAACGTAGGTATAAATGAAGAAATGCTATTGTTGCCAACCTGCTCGATTGCGCCTCCAGACGCGTCACACAATCAGAAGAGTATAGCCTTTCTTAGCAAATAATTGAGTTATTCATTTAGCATAAATGTTCTTTGAAAGAAATTGTAGAGAGTCATACATCATCGTCAAAACACCTAAATTTTGAAACAAATTAAAAAAATTGACTGTTAATATTTACGAATTGGAGAACAGTTTTTCCACGCATTTTTTAGTGCAAGAAAATGAAACGTATCAAGTTAATTACTTGACTTTTTCATAGTTTTCAATTGAAAAGTGAACCCTTTACCGTATATTGTAAATAATGTATGATTTTTGTTTTTAGTAAAATTACTTTTTTAGTTAAAAAGTGATAATATATTGTCTGAATTTTACGGGTCACCAAGGAGGAAGATGGCTTAAAAAATTGCCGACAATACCTATTACAGAAAATTTATGTGATTTTTGCGGATGATCACGAGAGGAAAAATCCACTTATTTGCTAAATTACATTTCGATCACTTACTTGGAACTTACAGATAGAACTTCATATTCCAATGCAAGTTGCTGAGCTGAACCCACTCCCCTCTCAGTCTTGTAACGGCACTCACCAGAGCTCAAAAATGTATGACCCCAATTGAAGTTTTTGAAGTTTTTGACCTTTTTTCCCCCTCAAAATAGTGTGAACCTAGGTCTATCTCTCCACTTTGTTACGTACTTTTTAGCATGTTTTGAATATTAGAAAAAACTCTTTAAAGAAAGAACCTTTTTTTCAACGACAGTGGGGATTTTATGGCTCAAATCGAAACTTCTTTGGTACAATTAGCCTGTAGTAAAAGTCATGCGGATCAAAGGTGTTCGTTTGTTCAATGTCCCAGTTCAAAAGCTCATGAGGCCTATAGCGTCCTCCGTGATCAACAAAAGCCAGGGCTCATGAGGTTTTGGACTTACGCCCGTCTGTCAAAAACCGATTCAATTATAATACGGACTTTTTTATTGCAGGATATCATTTTAATCGCATTTAAAAATGGGCAAAAAATACACTTTAATTAAATTATACTTTGCCGAAAAGAACAGTATTCATTACTTATCCATGAGGGCACATATCTGCATGGAGGAGGCATAGGCGCATATGATATATCTCTTAAAGAATGGGTCCTTTTTTGCAAAGTACAGCCCAATTATACATGTTTTCTCCCGGAAAAAATACCATTTCCAAATCCGAAGTAAGAAAAAAAGATCGTGGCTTCAAATTTTGGTGTCGTTATTCAAATATCGTACGCACAGAGTAACCTTACCTCTACAAAGCAAACTAAAAAAAAAAAAAAAAACCGTAAGAGTTCATCATATACCTAATTTCACCACGAACAATGGAAATAGATTTGTGGATGAAGTGATAAATAAATAATGAAGTGGTAAATGATACTGGGTGACTGAAGTGGATTATACAGCAAAAAAAAATTGGAATTTGATAATTATCCAGCGGAGTTTGAATCGAAATCGTGTGTTGCAAAAGAAATGCCACAGTAATGCACAGTAAATGCATGCCTTTTCTTAAATTTTAATCGTGTGTTGCGAAAAAAATCATGGCATCCTATTTTGCCATAAGGCATATAAAAAATGTAAATACTTATTTTCTATTTTTATCTCCTAAAATGCGGCCTGCAGAAAATGTATGATCTAGGAATTTTAAAAAAAGCCGAACCATCTTGAAATTTTAATGAAATGAAGTCCTCAGCACAGATTGCAATTAAATTAAAGGATTTTAAACAAATACCTCGTCACAGTTGAGCCTGCATATGAGGAAAAATAAGCAAATCAGGAAAGAAAATAGAAAAATTGAATTTAAGAATTTACAAGGTCTAAAAGTAGGTACCTTGAAAAATAAACTGAAAAACCAAAGCGATTACTGAAAAACAGACACTGAACTGCGTCTTTTAGAGGAGGGTAGCTCGAAAGGTATATCAAACTTAAACTTCCAATCAACCTCATCCTTCCTTTTGGTTTCTCCTCTAAAATCTTGAAGGAAGATCCACAACAGAGCAGTGCAAACCATTTTTCGCGGATTAAATAAATTCGGAAGACGGATTTCGATTTTTCTCGATTTCATGTCACGTTCAAGCTGTGCACTGAAAAAAAAGTAGTTAGCGTTGAGAACTAATTTGGTTGGTTCTCGCCAAGTAGAATCAAAATTAGGCTTCAGAACTAATTTATTGTACTGAAGCACCAATCAATTCGCTTCATACGCTGACTTGACTTTGCATGAACAGAAAAAAGACAGGCAAAACTTAAAGTGAAGCTTCCTCAATTATTGGATATGAGAATACAAAAAAGGTACTAAAAGGAGAAAAAACAGTTTATCGACTGAACACAATTTTTCCCAGGATTTTACAGCCGCGTATGAACATTAAACACATTTAAAACAAAAAGTAAAATAAAAATTATGGAGAACTAAATGCAAAACTAAGAAAAAGAACTAAACAAATAACCGCGAAGCATTCACTGTGGGGCACGCGCACTAAAGCAAGTGGCAACTTTAGGTGGAGTCGAAAAACAGAAATGAGCCACTCCCCTGGGAATAGTCATCATCAGGGGCTTCTCTCATCCCCCAAAATCTGACCTAACCTTAAATGCGTTTTTTCTCCTTCTCCAAAAGTAGGAAAGTAATTTTTCTGTTTGAAAAAAAAAAAAAAATGAATATAAAGAAGAAGAAAAGCAAATCAAAATGTAATTGAATCGGGGCGTGCAAAAACGGCTAATATCCATTTCTCCAGTATTCAGTGTTTTTGAGTTGATAAGTTGATAAGGATATAACCACGAGAGTGGCGTTAATACTCGTCTCCAGGTTACCTTAATCCCAAAACGAGTCATTTCATCACTTTTATGGTTGTATCAACTCTTAAAAAGTATTATCAACTCAAAAAAACCGAAGACTGGAAAAATGGACATCAGGGGTTTTCGCATGTCCCCATTAAGTTGAAAATTAAATCCAAAATTGGGAAAACGGAACAGGTAAAATAAAAAACAAAACAAAAAAACTGCAAAGCATTAGGAGAAGAACACACACCATAAAACACGTCGTAATCCTGGGCAGAGTGGAAATCGGTCACAGTGAAAAAAAAAACCAATCAGCGGAATTAGTTTGGATTGGGAACCAATCAGCGGATTTGTGGATTCGTAGCCCGCGCGGAAACCCGAAAATCCGCGGCCGACCGCGGGGGCATCAATTAAAACCAATTTCGCACGAAATCTAATTAGGGCCCCGATCCAGGCTCGGCTCGGAAATTGAGCCCTTTAATTGACATTAACTCAGAAAAAAGGCTCCAATTTGTCCTACGGCCACGGGAAGGTTAAATTTGTTACGTCGGCTTAACTCTACTATTCGCTTTTTCGACGCTGGACTTTGAGCTTCGGCGCCTCGCGACGACACCACCGAACCCTCCGCGAGCTCGACCAATCAGAGAGCACCCCTCCGCGGCTATCCACCAATGAGAGGCTCCGGGGCGCGGCTCGCGTCGGCCAATCAGGGAGCGGTTCTCGAACGTGGGAGTCCGGGACCCGGCTGTGTCGAGTCCCTGCAGTGACCTCTCCAGGAGCCTGGGGTTTTTTGTGCGTCCAGAGGTCGTTTTTAAAGGTTTTTCTCTCCGTTTTGGGCGCGTTTATCGCTTCCTTTTTCGCGCGTTCATCGGTTTCGGCCATTCCTTTTTGCGTTCGTCCCTTTTTGTTTTATTCTTCCGGTGTTGATGCTAATTTTTACCGATAAATGAGGCTAATGTTTTTGATATTAAATATCTATATTCGTTTGATAATATCTAATATTTTTTAAATTACAAATTTGATATGATTATTTTTTTGATAGAAATGAAATCAAGATAAGGGCTGTTCTTTCATCGGAATGAAATTAATCCAGCTGAACTCGACTTCTAAAAGCATCAATAAATCATCAATAAAAAAGCATCGATAAAGAAACTGAATCTTGACGATTTTGATGATTTTACTTGCCTTCAAGTGAAAGAAGTTAAAAGAAGTTTAAAAAGAAGAAAGAAGTTAGAAGTTAGTTCAGATGGAAGAAGATAATGAAATAAAAAGGGGGAAAATCACCAACAAATCAAAAAGTCTCCGTGGTAAGGACTTTAAGCAGAAGCATAAAGAGTGATAGATTCAATCGGAATTTTGTCGTTTTTTAAACGTATTTTAATTACAACTGAAGTATAATGCCAATATCTCACCAAAATCTCAACATTATACGTAAGAAAAAAAACCACCATCAGCAATTTAATCAATTCGAATCACTCATTCCTATTTACAGGCACTGATTGTAAGATCAGTCACTGTTGAGTGCTGAGGTTTCTTTTCCCCCTGAAAAGTCTTGCAAATTTTTTTTTTATTTATAAAATGAACTTTTAGGATTTATCTTGGTGCTTTAGATTTTCTAACCTGATACTTTCAGAGCGGGAACTAATTTTTTTTCTTCTTTCCTTTTTTTTTTTTTTTTTTTTTTTTTTTTTTTTCAAACCTCTTTACCTCTTTGTTTGTCCGACGCATCTCAACCTCCAAAAAATTACATCGTGCTAAGCACATTCGCGCAATCTCAGCCGTTAATTAGCTATTTATTTCTTAAGAAACACTTAAAACAGTCAATAAAGTTCGAAAGCTATGCGAATAATGAGATGTTTCGGTTTGCTTTTGGGTGATGCATGTTTTGTTATTGCATGATACCTCTGCGTGCAACGAATATACTAATTTTTTCTTTCAGAATACCTGCACATGCGTACTTAACCACATTAAGTTAACGTTTTCCATGAAGTAAAAATTTCAGAATACTTTATCATTAAACCTAAAATAAAAATTTGAATGACTTTATTTTTGAACAATATGTAACAAAATATACTCCTAATTAAATTGATAAAAACAAACCCATTTCTGTTTCATGAATTTTCAGTTATTCAAGTCATTAAATCAAATAGCAGGAAGCCTCCATGCGAACTTTTTGTTACTTAAAATTAAGTTACGAAGAAATTAAGTAAAAACTATCAAGAAAAATCAGTACAGAAAAATGTGTGCCAACGAACTGACTTGATTTCCGCTAAGTTTAACAACAGTTTCAGTTTAGCGTCGTGCTGAAATAAAAATGACGTGCGTTCAAAGGAGAGGGAAAATACTCTGTGAAAATGCAGTGATGGTTTTTTTTAAAAACTAATTTAGTGCAGTCAAATTACTCATTTTCCTTATATGAGCCATTAAATTTTAAGCGAAGGATTTAAGACATTTAATTTCGAAATAGTTAGAGTTCTTATCAAATTGACGAGGCTTCCTCTTGGATTTAGTCTTATTAATCTATCATTAGTATAGGCAGTACGCATGGTGAGAGAGAAATTTTTTTGAGCGTTTGACTGTGTTGCACATATTTAGCTACGGAAATGCACTAAAAATTTTAGTAACGCACAAATTATTCAAGAATAATTTACCATTACTTAATTTAATATAAAAAGAAATGAAATAAAAAAACCCTGTACGAAAGTAGTTAAATAGGCCAAAAAAGAAATACCACTGAGTTTTTTGCATAAGAGAAATACGTTACTAAGTACGTCAACTACTTTTTTTTACCCATAAGTGCATGTTCACGAATTTTTGACATATATCATTCTTGAAATCATGTTCTTCACAACTTCGGCACGATTCTTTTAAGTGCAAATTTCGAACTTGTATGAATAATGTAGGTTTCACATTTTTACGGATTGATATTTTATTTTATGAGCTGTTCCATCGAGGAAGAAAAGTAGATACAAATCACACAGCATCTTTCCCAGACTTCTTTGTACACTAGGACCATCCGGTGATTTCATTAATTTTCCCATAAAAAGTATATAGCCATGTTTTAACTGTAATACTACTTCAAATGTAAATGGTTTCTCTGTAAATGGTCGGTTTCTCTGTCTGTTTTCTGCGTTTTCTCTCGCAAAGACTCATAATTCAGGCAATACTCTTACAAAAACCTATTTCTTGAGCATTGAGAATAAAAGCTGGTACATGTGCCATTTTCCCGGTTTATTAATCACGGGGATTTTTTGGTGATTCAATGGAAGAAAAAAAGTAACTCTATTATTTCGAAGCGTTTTAAGGTACGTGGAGTGTACCATGCTTGAAAAATGCACATTTGTCCGACCGGCGCCCCTGATTCCTGTGTAAAGCCATGATTCAAATTCTACCTGTTCAAGCTCATTTATAAAATCGGCACGTGGGACCATATCTATGGTCCCCTTATTTGCGTCATATGTTTTTTTTTTTTTTTTTTTTTTTTTTACCTAACTTATGACCCCGGCAAGGGACCGTCCATAAATTACGTCACACAAATCATTGTGCACGCACCAGCTTTTACTCTGGGCACGGATGAGAGTGGTTTATTTGAAAGTAGTGTTGATGAAGAATGAGTCTTGGCGAGAAAAGCTGGAAAGGGAAGAGAATATTGGGACGGAATTGAGCCACATTGACAATCGATCAATTTATTCATGAAGCGCACTTTTGCTCTTGAGTTCTCCATCATGTCTGCGCACACAAATCCCGCACGCGACTCAGTCACGTTGAGTGTGTGAAAGTAAAATTCATGAATGGGAAATATGCGTAAAGCTCTCACGATTAGCGCTATGAGCGCTCAGCATGGGGGCGTGTCACTATAATGAGTAAACATGTAACCATTCACAAAACAACGAAAACATCAATGACAAGTGGGCACGCCGATCTCACCGTCAAGAGAACGGTTGAAAGGGTAGCGATTGAGTGGCCGAGAGGTGGGATCAGGATCAGGGCAGGTTTCGGCACCGCAGGAGGGAGCCAAGGACAACCCCTCCCATTTTGACTTTTAGCAGAGGGAATTCTGAGAATGTGATCCATCGGGCTTTATCTTTGCATCTTCACTTTGTGCAAACTCAGCTTGTATGATGAATTATTAGAGCCTTCGCTTGGCCAAGAGAGCACCCTGTGAATCAGCAGTGTTTTTAAATCTTGTCAATAGTTTTAGAATGCCTTTGATGATAACACTATTGCAAACATGTTTTTCAAAACTCTCCGCCAGAATTTTAAAACTTCTTTCATGCGAATAAAAAGATATAAAAATCAGAGAAACCTAAGATGGAAGAAGCTGTGAAAGTAAAATTGGATTGTGATAGGTCGACGGGGTTGAAAATAAGAAGGCTTTCCAAATGACAGAGAATATCCAAATGACAAGTTTAAAAAAGCTGATTGACGTCAGTTATCGCTTTATATCTAGTTGATTCGTCATTAGGCGCTGATTTTCGAACTTTCGTGTATGCTTTCCCACGTATTTGCTGCCAATAGCTGAGAGTTTCGCCCCCAAACTTTAGCGGAAGATAAAAACTTGTGTTTCCTCTCCTCTTCGTCGGCCAGAAAACCAATAATGAGCTGAAAAATTTCTCACAGCACAGCAGAGGCGGTAGGTATTTTATACGGGAGAAGATCAAGATACCAAAATTGGTGGTGTTTTTACAACCCCTGTGAAGTTAACAATAATCGCGCTGATCCTATCAAACCCTCTTTTTATCGCTCGCTTTAATGACAACACCTCTTCATTTGCTACCCTTCGCTTGTTGCCAGGTCGTTTGATTTTCTACTTCCCTGTTGTCACTTATTTTGCTCAGAAAGTCGGGTCAATTAGGCGCTCTTTAATGATGAATATTGCCAGCATTGCTGCAAGTAAAGAAAACACCCAGTTTCAGTCTCCGTCAATTACAGTAGTTTTAAGAAATTTGGGGGTGCTAATGACTGATTTTTGTCTAATCTATGTGGGGTGAAAACAAAAATTGTCCGAAACTTGTTAAAATACCATATTCAATTTTAATGTTTGAGTAAAAACGGAACTTCTACATTGCTGATTGCAATTTGTTTTATCCATCCAGAGAAACAAAACAAAAATAAAACTTTTTACTTGCGCTTTCAGATAAATGTCGATTATATTTCTTAATTTCCTCGCAAATGCCATTTTTGCATCTGGATTTACTCATTTTGGTACAAAGAGGTAATCGCAAAATTTCCTTAACATTGCGATGCACTCGTTTCCTGCTCTGTCCAAAATACAGTCAAATCGATTCACTCAAATTTTAGTTATTCAGTTAAAAACTAAAGTGCGTCGTCAATTTTACAAGTGAGTTACATTAGAAATTATTCATCGCATAAAATGCACTGAAGATGAATGCAGAGACACGCATCTCTCTATGTGACGTCGCAGATTCTCTGTCATATTTAAATTTTTACTTTCTGGCTCCTCTTGCGGGTGGTTAAGTGTTGTCATCTTCAAGGAAGAATTTTAAAAAAAGAAATGGAAATTTCACAATTTTAGGGATTTTAAGGTGCCTAGAGTGGGAAAAAGCAGTTGAAAGGGATCGAATGTGATTAGTTTATTTAAAGGATTGGGACGTTGGACAACTGGGACAAAAGAGATGGTAACTACACAAGGCTGGTTATCCTCGCCTATCCTCGGATGAATAAATTACAAATAGACTCGGCAACAGGGTACAGGGGGGTTGCTCTGAAGGGAGGGCGCGCGCGGCCGGGAATTTAGG